AAATGGAGTTTTTAGGGACCTTGTTAGAAATAATGATTTTATTATGTTTAACTGTCTCCTGTTAACCTTGTTGCATATCTTTCAATTACTAATAAGCTGCTGTTGGTAATACCTAGTGGATTTTATATAAAGGTGCATCCTTTAGTTTTTAAAGGTGTTGTAGAGTGATTTTATTTGTCGTGGTGGCAGGTTTACACTTCGCTACGAGGGAAGGAAATAAGCGTCCTTTGTATGTTGGGGCAGGGAAATGCAAGCCCATGCTAAAACATGAAGGCCATTGGTGAACTGACAAGAGTTATTTGTCTTCTTTTGCTTATTTACAGCTACACTAAAGATCAACAGTGAGCTCAGAAGTGTGAAAAGATTGCAGCTGCTGCCAGGATCATTTATTTGCAAAGCAGAACCAGGTAAGAAAAGCATGATTGAACTTTGGGGATGAAGCTTTGAGAGGTTCACTTTAGAAAGCCTGAAAGGTAATGTCTGAGAGACTGAAAATTTCTGAATGAGATGAAAACAAATTTAAGATATGTTGCAGAGTATCTTTTTCTTTCCTGCTTTTCTTAGGTTCTTGCAGTGCTGGATGATATGTGTACTGCCATTATGGAATGACACTAGTATGTAGTTCATCCCATGCTATACCGATGCTTCCTAATTTCTGAATTAATCTTTGGATTTTCCCAGCATCGTATTTAACCAGTATGGAGAGGGTCTGTGTTTTGTGCAAACCATACAGTGCGCCTTCATTATTGAAGATTATTGGAGGAAAAACTACTCAGAATTGTTAGCTTCAACTGACATAGATTTGGTGGCCGTTTGATCAGATTGGAACTTCATCAGAAGTTTGCCTTCTAGGCATGGTTTTGCTTGTGTTCTATAAGATTATTAGTAGGTGCAGAGACAAATTTTCCTTTTTATTTTTTCAATTAAACCCAGAGTATGAGAAGCAGGTAGGCAGTTGAAGGAGAGGAGATGGGTGGAGCAGGGACTCGCATCTTGAAGTGCTGGTTTTGTGCTGGACCTGCACCTTGACAGACGCTCTTCCATTTCGTCCTCCTAGTCAACTTGGGAGGGTTTTACAGTCCAGCTGTGGCGTGGCCTGCTGCCGTGGGGCGGTGCCATTGACAGCAGAGTCTTGGAGGGAAGGCTGCCTAGATCTGGGTCTTTGCTTTGAAGGCCTAGAGACTTACTCTTGTTGGTTCCTTGGAGACATCAGGCCCTGCGGCCCATGAACTTCCACAGATCAAAACTGATGGGAAAAGGGGACGTCCGGATGTGTACTTATAATGGTCTCTGAACATTTATCGTCACCCTAGACCAGTGTTTTCTCAGCCCTCTTTGCATTATCAATCCCCTGAGGAGCCTTTGTAGAAAATTCACCCCCCACCCATTCTCTTCCATGAAATTTTAATACCGTAGATATAGTGTATTTTCATTTGTGTACTGTGGCTCTTTGGAGGGTCACAAACCAATGGTCTAGCTAGGGTTTTTTAATTTGCCCTCTGAGAACCAGTTTTTGTCCCATTGTGGGTGACACTGCCCCTGCTGAGGGTGCACAAACTAGACTGATAAATCTGTAAAGGTGGTCTTACCATTGGGACCGGAAAAACTTGAAATTCCTTGGCCACAACACTTTAGTTCTGTCGACACTAGGGAGGACCTGCTATGGGGAGTAGAAATACTCTACACTCCACAGTAGTAGAGGTTATTATGCCCATTTTACAGATTAGGAGACAGGTCTAGAGAAGGTTAAAAATTACTTCAAGGTCACAGAG